AAGATAGAGGAGATTGCAGAGAGAGGGAATGTCCAGCACATGGATAGATTAGAAAACAAGTATGAGTATTTTAAAATCGAGGCTTTGCTTAACTGGGAGCTATTGTAGGTCAGTGAGCAATGATGGACGAATTGGAATTGATGTGAATGAGGATATGGATAGCCGAGGTTTGAATGACCTTAAGTTTATAGAGGATACGATGTTGGAGGCTGGCCAAGAGTATGTAATATAGTCATATGTGGAAGTAACAAAGGCATTATTGAAGACAGCAGCATCATAAAGGCTGAGAGAATGGTGGATTTGGGCAATGATATGGAGATGGATAAAGACAGTTTTAGTGATGGCTGGGATCTGTGGTTGTTAGCTCATCTTAGAGTTAAATATGACACTGACTTTGTCAAAAGTCTGGTTCAGTGTCAGACCCTTGTCATGGAGATAATTGGAGTTGGTAGCTAGGGAACAGAGTTTTGTGGTGGGTGAGAAGGCAAATATGAGAATTCAACCCCCGACTGGACGTGGGTTTTGAGGCATGGGCTTATGTCATAAAGTAAGATTGTGTAGTGTGGGGAGCCCATGAGATCCTTGCCTCTACTTGATGAACCTTGAGGTGGGGTAGCATTCTCACTCCCTCAAATTCACATGTTTGCTTTCCTTCTCCCTCATTGGGGTCTCTCATTCAAAACTCCAGAGCATTGGGAAGGAGGCTTCTGTTGACAGCTATCATCCTTGCTTCCATTTATCTTCCACTAAGTTGTCATCCCAATCTCTAACCTACATTTTACCTTTGTTAACATTGGCCCAGCATCCCTCATTGATACAGGGCTTCCAGTGAGTGAGTTGCCAGTGACTCTCTTCAAGGGTGCTCAATACACTGGAGAGCTGCTGACTTCTGATTAACTAGCACTCTGATGGTGGAGGGTGGAGGGTGGACTATAGGTGGGGTACCAACCGTGAGAGTCCTTAATCTCAGAGAAGGCATTCCACTGGTCATTTAATTCAGCAGGCCTTCCTAGTGAAGGCGATGTACAGCTCCCACCATTCTCCAGCCCACTAGCAAGGCACCCCATTGGCAACATTAATTCTGCCCAGTGACTTCACTCTTCCCAAAATTGAACTGGAGCAAATTTCTTCTCATCGGGTCTTGGTTGTCAGACAAGGAATCAAACAATTTCAACACAGTGGAAGGAATGAAAAAGATGGTAGACATGACAGGATGAATATTAAACAAGGCATAGAGGTTAGGAATGAATAGCTGCCAGGTCTATAATTCTCCTACATTATCAGTGTTCAGCTGTGAAAAAGGATCTTTTTGTTTGTGGATGCTCCAGCAGCGGATAGAATCCCCTCAGCAGAGGTTTTGATATGTTGCCGTACCAACGTAGAAACAGAAACTAGGAACAGAGGTAGGCCATTCTACCCATTGAGCCTGCACTACCATTCAATGTGGTCATGGTTAATCAACCAACTCATTACCCTGTCCCCATGTTCCCCTTAAACCCTTCGATTTCACTAGCCTTAAAAACTATATCTGTCTCCTTCTTGAAAACATTCAATGTTTTGCCCCACCCACTTTCTGATGCAGTGAATTCCACAGGTTCACTAGTCTGGGTGAAATAATTTTCTCCTCATCTCAGTCCTAAATGGCCTAACATCTGTCCTTAATCCTTGAATGCTGGTTTTGGACTCCCTGGTCATCAGGAACATCTTGCATTTAACCTCTCCAGTCTTGGTATCGTTCTACAGGGTTTTTTTTACATGAGATCTGCCCTTATTCTTCTAAACTCCAGTGAACATAGTCTGAACCAATTTAAGTTCTCCTTAGACATTAGTGCTGTCATCTCAAGAATCAATCTGGTAAACATTTATTGTACTCCCTCCATAACCAGATTAAGAGACCAAAACAATACTCTAGATGCACTCTAATCATGTTCCTGTACATTTGTAGCAAGACATCCTGCATATTTACACAAATCCTTTTGCTATGAAGGCCAACATAATATTTGTCTTCTGCATCACTTGCTACATCTGCATTCTTATAGCGACTGGTGTACAAGGACACCCAGGTTTCATTGCCCGTCCCCACTTCCCATCTATCGCCATCCAAATGATAATCTACCTTCCTGTTTCTTGCTTCCAAAGTGATAACCTCACATTTACCCATATCTTCTCTTTTGTTCATTGACATACCTTTATTTTAAACAGTGGTATTTTCTCCAAAGTCCAAATTTAATTATGTAGTCAAGAGATCTGAATTGAATCAATTTCTTTTAATTTCTCTTTCCAATAACTAATAACCTTTTGTTTCTGAATGTTTAGTTGATTATTCTTTTCTTCCTTGAACATTTCTCTTTTTCTCTTGAAGTTTCTGGTTCCTCCTGAGATATTATATGATGCTGCTCATTAACTTCTAGCAACTTCTAGCCACTCAATAAATAATGCAGTTTACTTAACAATGGAGGTTCCTTGAGACTATTGTTTGCCAAATGCATACACAAAATGAGACCATAATCCACTATCTCATAAATGAATGACCACAAGTGCCACAGGGGTCTCACCCATTGTTTAGAGAAACAGTAAACACCCTTCAGTGCTTTTCTGTGGGACTCCAATTCAATTCCCAAGCACTTACCTTGACAGTGATGGGCTTACAACTAAATTAAGACACATGTGGGGCAGGAATTCCACTGCCAAGAGCTGCCAACAAGTCAGATAACTGGCAAGTCTACAGAACTGACAATACCCTCATGCACAGTGGCCACCGCTGGTGTAGCTCACAGACCTGTCGGAGGGATTACCCATCGGTCTTCAGACGATGGTGAATGCAGACATGGAAGTCTCCAGCCAGCAAAATTAAGACAGGGGCTGGCAAGGACAGAGGCTTGGCATCTCGCAGGGTCATCGTCTCTGATTCTGGATTCCTCACATGGGCCTTTGAATAAGTGAGGGGCCCCAAATCCCTGCTGTGATAAGCTGTTAATCAGATTTGCTGAGTGTGTGATCTCCCCATTTGATTGTCCCCTGCCCCAAGCCGGTTGAACACAAGCAATGGTAGGTGAGGTATTTTGGTGTGTACCTAATAGCCTCAATTAGCTCACGGGTGATATGTGCGAGATCCATTCTTCCTGCCTAGTACTTGGTCAATGCAGGGGAGGAGTTGAGAAGATGGTAGGATCACAGTTAATGAAACAGTGCCTATGTACCCCCTGCCCTGTCTCCGAACTCAGGCATTAAATTGAGTCTCAGATCTAAAACTGATTGACCTCTTATTTAATATTTATTCATGTGCACATTTCAACAGAGATTGATGAATAGCATTCCGGAACAGGAATCCCAGGTAAATTTTCTACTTGCAGGCCTAAGGGCAATTTGTGGTTTCCAACATACCCCAGCTGACACTGGCAAAGAGTAAGGACCGGGGACGTGGATTTCATTCCACATTGGGCAACATCTACCAGATTGTAGTGAGCCAATGCATATGTTTTAATCATAATTGACAAAGTTAAGTTGTCCCCTGAGCATTCAGTTCAGAATACAAACATATGAGCGCACTCCAAAGAAAACAGTAATAAATAATAAACAAAATGCTTCACCTCCTAAAGGTCATGCTCTTTTAACTAAATATTTCAGAATAGCTAATGACAGATATAGATAAACTATCAATCTTAAAATAATCAATCTCATGAAGGCTGAATTGTGATCTTCTAACTTTGATTGACCTGGTTGATATGGCAGAGAGATAAAGCACTCATTCTCAGATAATCCATTAGATTCACTGGGATATGTAGACGCAGACACAAAACTGATTTGTTACAGTTGAACTGCAGTAAAAATTGCTGAAAGCACCCCTTGTGAAATAATACACTTTAGCAAATGTCAGCAGCTCACAAAACAGACAACTCTCGAAAAACTATAGTTTCAATCATACATCAAAAGAGTAAATGTGACATTGAAGGCAGGTATCAATATCTATTGAGATGTGGACATATTCTCAATATGTAACAGACTATGCCACATTTTATAACTCTAAAATATGTCTAGTTTTGCAGAGAAACATGCCACGAGGCTGCCTTTATTCATGTGGTAGAATGATGGCATTTAGAATTGTAAACAAAAGTTCCTTACAGCTTTTGAACGGGTTGCGGATGCAATCTGAACATCTCAAGCTGTGCTTGCTAACGTTTCTCCGATTGGTTTTAGTAAGTGATCTTTCTCTCCCTGGTATATCTCTCCAATATACAGTACTTTACAGTTCCAGCCCATTCAATAAAATAAGTTTCACCATCGACCTCTTTAACATCTAGGGCTGTAACAGATTTCTACCACAGGAGTTACTGTACAGCAGAAATTTTAGTAAGAGCTTACCTACGTTACACACATCCAAGTAAGTAACTGACAGCATTATAGTCCACAAACTGATCGTAATCTTGGTGCAGAAGGTTTAAAGATTTCTCTTGTTCAACTTTCTGAGATCAATGACCTGTTCCAAGCAGTTTTGTTCAGCGCATGATACTGAAAGCACACATACTGTAGCAGGAATGAGACTAAACTGAACCAAATCCTGTCGTTATTCCCAGCGTCTCCTGTCTCCAAAATTCAGACGAAACTAATGTTTTGTGAAGGGGCCCAATGACCAGGCCCAGACTGGCTGGAAACTATTTCCTGCCTCTAAGAAGTATATACATGTGCAAGCGAGTGAATTCATGAGAAAAAAGACGTAAGCCAGTAAGAGAATACAAAAGGGGAAGATAACGTAATGGCAGAATCCATAATGATTAAACTTATAGTGCGCATCTATTTGATTAAGTTTTGCTTTTATTCTAAACAGTTATAAACATAAGGAGTGAATAATGCGTAAAATTCATCTCAGACTAAAAAGGTTTGTTTGAAAATAAGAACTGACTTTATCTTATCATAATAGTTATGGTATTTATTTATTTAATTAACACATTTATTTAATTTTGAGTGCAACAGACCTTAAAGTGGATAGCATGCCTTATTACCTTTCCTGAGAATCCTCCAGAGCAACAGATAACCACCAACAATGTAAATTCACAAGGGCAAACTCCATCTTGAGGATATTAGAATTGTGCTGATATAAAACACGCAGCAGCAGAGCTTTCCAGTTTGACAGAGTGCCTGAATTGGATCACTAAGACTGCCCACAGCTTATGTATCCAGATTTATGAAAAGACTTTCTTAAGCCATCATCTGTTTATCTTTTTCTTCCCCATTTTTGACTCCCTTGAACAACTTCCTCTCTGTTTCTCCAAGCGACTTTCAGGCTGGGAACTAAGTGCACCATTTGGTATTGATTAAAAACAGACAAGTACCTTTGTAAAAGCCAGAACTGAGCGATTGCGGATCACAGGTTTTTTTTTTACTCTAATTAGCATGTGGTTCAGTAGCTGTGTGTAACTAAATAAGCGCACTACCATTACATATCGTATAAAAGGACACAACATACACTTCTTAACATAAACTATTAGTTTTACATGCATGCTGTTCATATTTTTCTTGCTGTGATCATGGCTTTGATTTCTATTGCATACCATATAATGATGTCTTGGAATTAAAACACAGTACAATATAATAAACAGTGTTGCTTTTAATTCAAAGTGTTATTATCATAGGAAACTGTGTGGCTCTGAACTCAACAGTACTGTCAAAGTTGTAAAACTGCAGGATACTTTGAATACTATCTTGTTCTGGCTAAAGTGCAGTCAGTTATAAGAGTTAGATAAATGTATAAGGAGAAAGAACGAATATGCAAGGAAAGATCAATGAACAGCATATTAATATTCTAATTAAATTTGGATTCAATTATTCTTTTTTACTTCCCTCAATAATTTATGAAATACTCTACTTGAGTCAAAGATATCAATCATAATATATTTTAGTCAATAAGTAGGGAATTACATAAAATGCAACATTAAAATAAGTTGATTATGAATTTCAGTGTTGATGATGATGATGATAAAGTGCATTTTAAGATATTGTTCTTTGTAAACATTTCTTTTAATGTAAATACTCTATTTGATCATTTTACCACCAAAGGTAATTCTTGATTCTTCTCCCCAAAATATCAATTGAACTTCTTAACTGTGGAGCTTCTCATAATGGGTGGGAGAAAGGCTAGACAGAACACTGCACAGATGGCCGGGAATTTACAGAAGATGTAAGTGACTTCTGGACTTCCAGGACAAAGCAAAGTTATCTCTCAGCTAAAGCCAGATCAGTTGTAAAATTGGCTCAGGAAAGTGAACATTTGAAAAATGATGCGCAATTAAACTTCCTAAATACATCTTAAAGTGTAAATCTTTCTTCCTTCAAAATGTAAATCATTATGTATATGTACACAATCTATATTTGTAAGTATAAGGGGCTAATTAACCCATTTCATTGGATAGCTAGTCCATGGTTCATAATTCCAACAGCACAGGTTTGATACCTGTTTCGGCTATGATAGGCACGGAGTATATCTGCTCACCCAACCTACAGAAGAAAACCATGGTGCTTTGTCTTTGTTCATTAAATAGTTGTGTAAGATCTGTCTGCATGCAAAGAACTGAAGAAGATAAATAAGCCAGTGTGTATTAACTGGTAGACTTTTCAATTGCTTGCAGGGCCTGCAACCAAATTTTTGAAAATAATGTTACTGGATGGCATGCCAGTGTCTCGAAGCCTCTGGGCTCTGCTAGGATTTTCAATGTGAGTGTGCATGGATTGTTGGATTATGCCCACCTCCAATTATAGGCTCATTAATGTTCTTAAAAAGCTTGTTGATATACATCTTCAGAAATGTTTGGGCCAAAGGGACAATTTCCATACTGTATCACTCTATGAGTCTATGACACTATTACTGGTTGGACCAAAGGGTCTGTCTCTGTGCTGTATGACTCTATATGTGAAAACACAAAATGCCAACCATACAGACATTTTCACTAAGCAACTTAGAAATCAAAAATTCATTAGGTTCACAAAATTAGTCTCAAAGACTCAACAGTCATCAAGGCAAAAGATTCAACTTTCTGAAAAGATCCTTAAAAAGAATCTCTGGTTGAAACTAGTCTGACCACATCCACCTCAGAGTCATCCCACTCCAAAAAATTGATTTTTCATTTCTTCTGCGCTTGAATTCCTAGTGCAGCAAATATTTCGATGTCCTATAATAATTGTTAATTAGAACATATTTCTTATACCTTCAATCTAGATCGGTTCTCAAACCTCAGGTAAAATCTTCAATTTGTTGGAATAATGGAATAGTTTTCATAGTATTTTAAGTAAACAAGGGACTTGATTCTGTCTACAAGTATTTAGGTGTACATGCACAGTATTCCCTCAAGGCAATATATCCTTGCTGAGGTTCAGTGCCCGAAGCTGAATTGATGGAGTCTGACCAATACTCTGTACAACTGAAACATTATTTCCTCTCATGTGTATTCCAGCTCCCTTGAAATAAAGGCCAGCATTCCAGTAGGCTTTTTGATTCCATTAATCTGGCATTTAAAAATGTACACATGGGAATTTTGATATGTTAACCATGACTGAGGGACAGTGGAGCCTTGTTGTTGGCAGGAGAATAAGATAAAGAAAAAAAATGTCAAAGAATATAACCAGACTTAAAAGAACCAACTGTGCTCATTTGCCTATGAGGAGGAAGTGACCCAAACAAAAGTGCAGCAGGTTCTTAAAACCATTCGCTTGTGTCCTCTTCAGGGGCACTTTCAGGCAGAGATCTGCATGATCATGCCCATGAGCCAAATAATCTCCCAGGTTAAGTGACATCAGTTTGTGGAAGGTTCAATTATCACCATACCAAATAAGGCATAGAAGACTTTGGGCCAAATGTTGGAAAATGGGTGAGAATAATTAGGTCAGAGATAGTAGGAACTGCAGATGCTGGAGAATCCGAGACAACAAGGTACAGAGCTGAATGAACACAGCAGGCCAAGCAGCATCATCGGAGCAGAAAGGCAGAAAGAATAATTAGGTGGTTATTTTCAACCAGTGCAGACTTGGTTGGCTGAATGGTCTTTTTCTATGCTGTGAACCTCCATGACTCTAAAACCCCCCTGCTCAACAAAAGTGGAATATTTGGGACAGCATTCCAATGACCCACTAAGTTTATTATTCTGTCGCTTCTGGACTTGTGTAACTGAGAGAGGAAACTGAGCTCCAATGCAATTGAAGGATGAAGTGTAACTCATTTAAAAGAAATCTTGCACACACAGCTAGCCAGCTACAGATGGAGTTGTGACTTAGATTCCGACAAAGCTAATCCATGCCTTCTTACTTTGGAAAGTTTGCAATCTTTTTATTATCAAGTTTTCATTTAGGACTGGCTCCAAAATAAGAGATTGTAGTGTTCTGTGCTTGATTCACATTGGAAACATTCACCTCTTTTTGCAGAGGCTTGTTAGATAAGGTAATAAAGACTTACTTTCATAATAGTATCCAGAAATGAAGTGGAAAGAGATTAAGAAAAGAAAATGAAACCAAAAGAGGAAGACAATGAGACAAAATGGATTATTTTCTCAGAGCTAACACATCTGTATGGGTCTTCTTTCCAGTAAAATTTATGACATTAACAGACATTTGAGAGGCAGAGATAACTGTTGTATGTGTACCTTGCCTTTAAAGGAGTTCACCTTTAAGGACTCGTGTATATAACATCTTGCAACTCGGCTGAGCATTTTGTCTATTATGGATTTGCATGTTGCACAAAACACATCAACTGTGATAAATAAAAACCGAAAGAACTGCAGATGATGTAAATCAGGAACAAAACAGAAGTTGCTGGAAAAGCCCAGCAGGTCTGGCAGCATCTGTGAAGAAAAATTCAGAGTTAACATTTCGGGTCCATTGACCCTTCCTCAGCTGAGGAAGTTCTGAGGAAGCAGTTCTGAGGAAGGGTCACCGGACCCGAAACATCAACTGTGATGTCTGCCTCATAATTTACAATGTGTTTTTCTATTCCCTGATGAGTGATTAATTATTAGACTATTATAACTGATGTGACATGGTGAACAGTGGTGGAAAACTAATTACTGATGATGGCTATCATGCTTGAAGAGTGAGCAAGCAAGTTAATCCACAGTTGAAACTCATGGTTGATAGTTTTAAATTGTGCTAAAGTTCATAAAAAGACCCCTTAATGTCTTTGTTCATCCCAGTGTTGAAGAGTGTTGAAAGCACAATTTATATTTAGGCAGACAGATCCCTAACAAGAGGACAATTTAACTCAATGGGGAAAGACAAGTGTTCAGGATGTAACCAGTTGCTGAATTGATAGCAAGAAAAAGAAAGTCAGAGGCATATTGTCACAATCTCCACTGAAGTCCCTAGTTTAAATTGGGACACAGTAGACCTCTTAACAGAATTTAGCATGTTTAAACAGCAGTCAAAGCAATGGTTTCTGGATTTGTGTGTGTCCAATGCAGAAAAAAAGTTTGATTAAGATTTGTTTAGCAATTAGGCACAAAGTTCTACACAGAATAAATACAAAAGTCTGAAGAGCTGAAAGATCCCTAAATGATACAGTCATTAGAAAGCCGTTTCAGTGTCACATTAAACATTTGTATGCATCAACAAGCATCCGTGTCAATTATACAGAAGTCGACAGAATGCACATAACATTTAATGAGCAGATAAAGACAAAAAGGCTCATTGTATGATTTTTCAGATGGACATCCAGCAAACAGAATTGTTGTGTTGATGATTGCATCCATCCTCATGGACCCTTTCTGGTCAGATTTCGTAGACCACCTGAAGACTTATATTATTGAAGAACTGCTGAAGGATAGACATAGTACAATGTGATCCTTGCAGGTCAATGAAACTTTCAGGTCTGAAACTCTCAACAAATGACAGGAAAATGCTCAGCTGTTAATCAGTTTTGCAAAGCATGCATAGAAAAGATCATTGGCAGAGACAGTGTACCAGAACAAAGGCTGAATCAGCCCCCAAAAGCTATGCACTGACAAAGAAAAACCATATGCAAGATTATCTTCAAGCCTCAATTTGGTATCCCATCAGAGGTGTATATATGATGTGATTGACAAACTAAAATCTGATGATGTACACAATGAGATATACACAAAGAGTG